GTACAGACATAAGTATAAATATATACTTTATAGGGTCGGAAAATTATATTATAGAAATTGAAAACGGAATTACTACTACTTTTATATAGCCTTTTATATAGCCTTCTCACAAAGCTGAGAATTAATACCTTTTCAATGTAAGTTTTTGTTGGGTATTTAAGAGTGAAAGGAAAATGATATTGAATTCTAAAGCAGTTCATTATTTGTCGTCTTTTAATTCATTTTCTAAAGCGGTTTTTAGTAAGAGCTAAGTCATTAGATAAAATAATGATGAACCTCAAACACAATTTATTTCTTAATTTTTAAAATGATCTTTAGAACTTGTTTGTTTACGTCATTTAAAATTTGTTTTTGACAATTACTCGAATTTCAAACAGTAGTTAATAGCTTTCATGATATTTTTTAAATAAAAAAAATATATACATATAAACATTAATATCAAATAACAATAAAAATATTTTTGTATGCAAATTTTAAAACATTAGGGGCGCTTCGATTTCACTGGTTTAATGGTTTTGGACTCAAAAACGTAAATAAATTTGCTTAAATTTTTAATATAATTCTTTTCATAAACTTTATAATTAACTTTATTATCGAATTTGTTAAAACTTTTAAGTTTTTTTCGACCTGCCGAATATTTAAAAAACCCCCCCTAATTGCCATTTATTATGTACTATTATTACGTTTGTTTTTAATTCTTTTTTATTAAATACTATTAATTAAAAATGCATATATGTATTTTAATATGAAATTTATAAATGAGTATATAATATAAGACTATTTACAAAAATTAATCATAAATTTGAACAAACCCGTTTTTTACTTAATTAAATTCACAATAAACAAATAAACACTTAAATTTTTAATAAATTATCACAAAATTGTTCTAAAAACTCGAAAGAAAGTAACTAAGTAATTTAAGCAATATCTGCAATGAAATATTTAGCTGGAATATAACTAAAGATTTTCTTATAACGATCGAGAGCGATCGCATCTAAAGTTTCCTCCAAAGCGGGACGCATTATTTCAAAAAGTTCACGCCAATTTTGATTGAATACCGCATTGGCACTTTCTTCCAATTCGACATTGCCATCGAAGAGATTTGTGAAATTAATATGGAAATTATCGATATTTTTAATGGAAGTTTGGATGCCGGTAACATCGAAGAATTTCTGACCGTTAACCTCAATGAGTTGGGTTTTTAGAGAGAAAACGACATCAACATTAGCTGAAAAAGAGGAATTAAAGAGTTTTTTTTATTAATTTTATAAAATGTTTACTTTTTCAAGACTTTATTCTGACTTACAAACTTCATTATCCATAATTCCGGTACTATCCAAACGTAAAAGAAGAATACTGCCTTTCATGCGATAATTTCCCTTATTTTGTATTTGGGGAATTTTTGTTAACAATTTAAAATTATATTCACCGTTGAGACTGAAATTTAAAAGGTAGTTTAAAATGAATATATAACAGATATCGATATCGGAAAGTGACATATGATTAAGACAACTTTTTACCCAACCGTTAACGGTTAGTTATAAAAGGTTTTTTTGTTTCCTAAAGGCTCACCTGGCTTTTGCAATAGTAGATTGTCCTAGTCCGGTGATAATTACATCTTTAAGATCCATTTTAAAATTAATATTCGGATTGTTCTGTTCCAAATGTATCTTTTTCACATGGAAAGGATCTATGCTGCCATAATTCTTTAAACCGGGTATACCTTAAAGGGTTTAATATTAAATATTATTATTTATGCGAATGATATACAGTTTACAAAATATATACCATCTCTCCAATGTGTATAGAAAACTTCGAAAGCTTTTGCTAAACATACGCCGTTATTGGGATCGCTTAAGGAACATGCCTTAAAAAAGGAAGCTGTAAAGTTGAAAAAATATATAAATATTAAATAAAATTTGGTTCTGGAATCTAACTTTAATTTTGTTGATAATGTTTTAAAACTTTAAACTCAAAGGTTAAAGGTTAAATAACCTATTGTTGTATTTTGTTATATTTCAAACTGCATCACTGAAAATCATTGTTAAACCTTAATATATTTTTAAACAAATTTTGTACACTTTTTTGGGTACTTACCCAAAAAATTTGTTTAAAAGAATATTCTAAGTTTTGGAATATAAAAAATTGTACTTCACCAGCATTTTCTTGATTAAAAAAGTCGATAACTTTTACTTATTTATGTATTATTTTAAATATTATTTGACAATCACTTTATAAAGTTAAAATTACACAGATACTTACGTGCTTCTTTTAAATAACCATCTCCCTGTACACTGGCGACCAATAAACTTAAGACCCCAACTAAGATGAGGATACTACTGCTGGATTTGTGCAGTTGATATTGATGCTTCATTGTTGTACTAAAAGTTATGAAAGTTTAAAACAAACTAAAAATTTATTCTATTTTGTTCAGCATTAAATAAAAGTTTTTTTTTTTTTTTTTTTTATCACAACTAAATATATTGTTAAAATATGTATGCATGTAGTTTTAAGTTTTTTTCCTAGTGTTAAATTCTTAAATTTAATATAAAACAGGGTTAATTTTTTGTTGCTTTTTTTTTTTGCAATATTTTGGTTTTTTAGTTTTTATATAAAAGTTTTATTTTTTTTCAAAAATTAAGTAAAAATTGATATATTTAGTTAGTCGTTCAAGTTAACAAATTCTAGTTTTGAGTATTTAGAAAAGTTTAAGAATCAATGGATAATTTTTAAGGAAAGATTTGTAAAAATGTGAAATTATTCAGAATTTTCTTATTAGTTAGTAAGTTAGTTAGTTAGTTAGCTAGTTAGTTAGTTAGTTAGTTAGTTAGTTAGTTAGTTAGTTAGTTAGTTAGTTAGTTAGTTAGTAGTTAGTTAGTTAGTTAGTTAGTTAGTTAGTTAGTTAGTTAGTTAGTTAGTTAGTTAGTTAGTTAGTTAGTAGTTAGTAGTAGTTAGTTAGTAGTTAGTTAGTTAGTTAGTTAGTTAGTTAGTTAGTTAGTTAGTTAGTTAGTTAGTTAGTTAGTTAGTTAGTTAGTTAGTTAGTTAGTTAGTTAGTTAGTTAGTTAGTTAGTTAGTTAGTTAGTTAGTTAGTTAGTTAGTTAGTTAGTTAGTTAGTTAGTTAGTTAGTTAGTTAGTTAGTTAGTTAGTTAGTTAGTTAGTTAGTTAGTTAGTTAGTTAGTTAGTTAGTTAGTTAGTTAGTTAGTTAGTTAGTTAGTTAGTTAGTTAGTTAGTTAGTTAGTTAGTTAGTTAGTTAGTTAGTTAGTTAGTTAGTTAGTTAGTTAGTTAGTTAGTTAGTTAGTTAGTTAGTTAGTTAGTTAGTTAGTTAGTTAGTTAGTTAGTTAGTTAGTTAGTTAGTTAGTTAGTTAGTTAGTTAGTTAGTTAGTTAGTTAGTTAGTTAGTTAGTTAGTTAGTTAGTTAGTAGTTAGTAGTTAGTTAGTTAGTTAGTTAGTTAGTTAGTTAGTTAGTTAGTTAGTTAGTTAGTTAGTTAGTTAGTTAGTTAGTTAGTTAGTAGTTAGTTAGTTAGTAGTTAGTTAGTTAGTTAGTTAGTTAGTTAGTTAGTTAGTTAGTTAGTTAGTTAGTTAGTTAGTTAGTTAGTTAGTTAGTTAGTTAGTTAGTTAGTTAGTTAGTTAGTTAGTTAGTTAGTTAGTTAGTTAGTTAGTTAGTTAGTTAGTTAGTTAGTTAGTTAGTTAGTTAGTTAGTTAGTTAGTTAGTTAGTTAGTTAGTTAGTTAGTTAGTTAGTTAGTTAGTTAGTTAGTTAGTTAGTTAGTTAGTTAGTTAGTTAGTTAGTTAGTTAGTTAGTTAGTTAGTTAGTTAGTTAGTTAGTTAGTTAGTTAGTTAGTTAGTTAGTTAGTTAGTTAGTTAGTAGTTAGTTAGTTAGTTAGTTAGTTAGTTAGTTAGTTAGTTAGTTAGTTAGTTAGTTAGTTAGTTAGTTAGTTAGTAGTTAGTTAGTTAGTTAGTTAGTTAGTTAGTTAGTTAGTTAGTTAGTTAGTTAGTTAGTTAGTTTAGTTAGTTAGTTAGGTTAGTTAGTTAGTTAGTTAGTTAGTAGTTATTAGTTAGTTAGTTAGTTAGAGTTAACTAAGAGTTGGTATTTATATCAAGTTAGTTTTTTCTTTGTTTTCAAAATTTCAGATCTTTCTCAAAATAACACATTCTAAAAACAAACCCATTTATGATTAAACATTAGAACAAAGTAAACTGTTGATTTAACAGTTTTAATAGTTTTTTAATTGTTTTTATTGGAATTATAATTTGCGTGTATGTCATTCATTTGTTCTTTCCAACAAAACATTGAACTTTATTTCAAAATTTCAATCAATTTAAGATGGCGACGTTTAAGTTTAAGTTAGTTATTCATCGTATATTATTGCTTTTGTTGGGTCGATAGTGTGATATTTGAGACACACACAAATATTATTTTATACCGATCCATACAACCAGATAATTCTTTGAGCTCATAAAAATATGTACTATTCCCTATCAAATCGCCCAATATTTGATCCTATCGCACATAAACAATATCTTTTACAATTCAGTTTTTCATCTATAAATATTTTAAATTTTATTTCATTAAAATATTAAGAATAAATAACATTTAAAATCTACAAATAACTAGTGTAGAGTATCATTTGGTCGACCTTATCCGACTATACGTTCTTATTTATTATTATTATTCTATTGCATTTCTAAACAAACAACTAGTCATCATTATATTGACAAAATATTATTTTTTGGAACCGGTTATACATATGCTGCTTGGGAATACAATTAAAACTTTTAAGGGTGCTATAGACAACAGCTAGACATCTGAACATGATTAACAAGAATAAAATATGGTGTGAGTAATCTGGTTTGAGAACATCTTAAAATTTATTAACGATTTTATATCCCCCATCAAATGTTCATGTAGTAATTTCGTTTTATTAGCATTATCTCAACATCTCTCGTAAATCGAAAAATACACTTCTCCAACTTTTCTTTATAATTTAAAATAATTATTTTTTAAAACAGTCAAAATGTTTTCTCCTCGAAGTTTTTTAAAAAAATTCAAAAGAAATCACAATAAAACTGAAAATTTTGAAAACTCAAATGAAAAAATAAATGAAGGATCCATTAACTATGATAATGATGAAAACACAAGAGCGGCCTTGGTGGAAATTTTAATTTATGTAATTTTTTTAGTGGCAATAACATTTGGTAAGTAATAATAGCATTCTAGTAACCAATAATCGATAACAAAAGACTTTTTCATAGTCGCCAATGCTGCTCAGCATTTGCATATGTTCTATTTCAATCAAACTTTAGAAAGATCATTTCTAGAGAGAACTTTAGAAACCAATTTGGGTACAGAATTGAGTTTCAATGAGCTGGTAACAACAGCTGATTGGTGGTTATATATGGAAAGAGTTTTCCTGGCCAATTTACATGGTCTCAGCTATGATTGGCAAAGCGAAGATGATGAAAATGTAACGGAAATTGAAACTAGAAAAAATTAGTTGAAATACAAGTTGGTCCAAGGAGTAGGCTGGTCGGATCTCAAGATAATGGCTCCAAGTTCAATATGTTTGAAGTTACTAGTTTATCACGCATCTTCTTAAGAGACAATATTCTATTAGGACCTCCTCGTTTAAGGCAAATACGGGTTCAAGAAAAATCTTGTGAAATTCATGAAGTTTTTCTAACATATTTTAATAGTTGTTATACGGGTTATAGTATAGATAAGGAGGACATTCAAGGAGTGTATATGAAGTAGGTCTAAAGTTAATGAAGTATATCCCAGCAAAAACAAGGTAATGCCTTACCCAACAACTTACTTTTCAATGACTAGAAATAGGCATGGAAAAATTGACTGGATTACAGAGTTGCAGACTACAAACTACTATAGACTAGACTATAGACTAGACTAGACTAGACTATAGACTAGACTATAGACTAGACTATAGACTAGACTATAGACTAGACTATAGACTAGACTATAGACTAGACTATAGACTAGACTATAGACTATAGACTAGACTAGACTATAGACTAGACTATAGACTAGACTATAGACTAGACTAGACTAGACTATAGACTAGACTATAGACTAGACTATAGACTAGACTATAGACTAGACTATAGACTAGACTATAGACTAGACTATAGACTAGACTATAGACTAGACTATACTAGACTATAGACTAGAGATAGACTAGACTATAGACTAGACTATAGACTAGACTATAGACTAGACTATAGACTAGACTATAGACTAGACTATAGACTAGACTATAGACTAGTCTAGATTAGACTATAGACTAGACTATAGACTAGACAATAGACTAGACTATAGACTAGACTATAGACTAGACTATAGACTAGACTATAGACTAGACTATAGACTAGACTATAGACTAGACTATAGACTAGACTATAGACTAGACTAGACTAGACTATAGACTAGACTATAGACTAGACTATAGACTAGACTATAGACTAGACTATAGACTAGACTATAGACTAGACTATAGACTAGACTATAGACTAGACTATAGACTAGAATAGACTATAGACTAGACTATAGACTAGACTATAGACTAGACTATAGACTAGACTATAGACTAGACTATAGACTAGACTATAGACTAGACTATAGACTAGACTATAGACTAGACTATAGACTAGACTATAGACTAGACTATAGACTAGACTATAGACTAGACTATAGACTAGACTATAGACTAGACTATAGACTAGACTATAGACTAGACTATAGACTAGACTATAGACTAGACTATAGACTAGACTATAGACTAGACTATAGACTAGACTATAGACTAGACTATAGACTAGACTATAGACTAGACTATAGACTAGACTATCGACTAGACTATCGACTAGACTATAGACTAGACTATAGACTAGACTATAGACTAGACTATAGACTAGACTATAGACTAGACTAGACTATAGACTAGACTAGACTAGACTATAGACTAGACTAGACTATAGACTAGACTAGACTATAGACTAGACTAGACTATAGACTAGACTAGACTATAGACTAGACTAGACTATAGACTAGACTAGACTATAGACTAGACTAGACTATAGACTAGACTAGACTAGACTAGACTAGACTAGACTAGACTAGACTAGACTAGACTAGACTAGACTATAGACTAGACTAGACTATAGACTAGACTAGACTATAGACTAGACTAGACTATAGACTAGACTAGACTAGACTATAGACTAGACTAGACTATAGACTAGACTATAGACTAGACTATAGACTAGACTATAGACTAGACTATAGACTAGACTATAGACTAGACTATCGACTAGACTATAGACTAGACTATAGACTAGACTATAGACTAGACTAGACTATAGACTATAGACTAGACTATAGACTAGACTATAGACTAGACTATAGACTAGACTATAGACTAGACTATAGACTAGACTATAGACTAGACTATAGACTAGACTATAGACTAGACTATAGACTAGACTATAGAGACTATAGACTAGACTATAGACTAGACTATAGACTAGACTATAGACTAGACTATAGACTAGACTAGACTATAGACTATAGACTAGACTAGACTATAGACTATAGACTATAGACTATAGACTATAGACTAGACTATAGACTAGACTATAGACTAGACTATAGACTAGACTATAGACTAGACTATAGACTAGACTATAGACTAGACTATAGACTAGACTATAGACTAGACTATAGACTAGACTATAGACTAGACTATAGACTAGACTATAGACTAGACTATAGACTAGACTATAGACTAGACTATAGACTAGACTATAGACTAGACTATAGACTAGACTATAGACTAGACTATAGACTAGACTATAGACTAGACTATAGACTAGACTATAAACTAGACTATAGACTAGACTATAGACTAGACTATAGACTAGACTATAGACTATAGACTAGGCTATAGACTAGACTATAGACTAGACTATAGAATAGACTATAGACTAGACTATAGACTAGACTAGACTATAGACTAGACTAGACTATAGACTAGACTAGACTATAGACTAGACTAGACTATAGACTAGACTAGACTATAGACTAGACTAGACTATAGACTAGACTATAGACTAGACTATAGACTAGACTATAGATAGACTATAGACTAGACTATAGACTAGACTATAGACTAGACTATAGACTAGACTATAGACTAGACTATAGACTAGACTATAGACTAGACTATAGACTAGACTATAGACTAGACTATGACTAGACTATAGACTAGACTATAGACTAGACTATAGACTAGACTATAGACTAGACTATAGACTAGACTATAGACTAGACTATAGACTAGACTATAGACTAGACTATAGACTAGACTATAGACTAGACTATAGACTAGACTATAGACTAGACTATAGACTAGACTATAGACTAGACTATAGACTAGACTATAGACTAGAATATAGACTCGATATAGACTAGACAATAGACTAGACTATAGACTAGACTATAGGACTAGACTATAGACTAGACTATAGACAGAGACTATAGACTAGAATATAGACTAGACTATAGACTAGAATATAGACTAGACTATAGACTAGACTAAGACTAAGACTATAGAATTAGACGAGACTATAGACTAGACTATAGACTAGACTATAGACTAGACTATTAGACTAGGACTATAGACTAGGACTATAGATCGACTATAGATAGACTATAGACTAGACTATAGGACTAGACTATAGACTAGAACTATAGACTAGACTATCGACTAGGACTATAGACTAGACTATAGACTAGACATATACTAGACTATTAGACAGATGGGTCTATAGACTAGCGACTTAAGACTAGACTATAGACTAGACTATAGGACTAGACTATAGGACTCGACTATTAGGACTAGACTATAGACTATACATATGGACTAGACTATAGACCTAGCCTATAGACTAGACCATATGACTAGTACTATAGACTAGACTATAGACTAGACTATAGACTAGACTATAGACTAGACAATAGGACTAGGACTATAGACTAGGACTATAGGACTAGACAATAGGACTAGACTATAGGAGATCATAGGGACTATAGACTACTAGACTATAGACTAGACTAATAGACTAGACTTATAGACTAGACTATAGACTAGGACTATAGACTAACTCCTTCAAGCGACATTGATAACTACTTATTTACCTCCTTATTTGTAATCGAGCGTAGTAAGTTCTTGTTTCCAATGACATCTCCGTTTTAAAATAATGACTTCAATAATATGCTCTAAGTAAATTTTGCTTTTAAATCTCTTGCATGGCAATAAAAGTTTTTGCTGGGTAATTACAATTAATATTATTAAATTGCAATTATTTATAAACTTTAGTTCAACATTTTATACGATGTCAGAATTGCAAGTAAACGTATTGTATGGTAAAATCAAAAAATATTATGGAGCTGGTTATTTGGTAAATTTAAGTAATGATTTTGAGGAAAATCATAAAATCTTAGAAAACTTAAAAACAAGCCAATGGATTGATCGTGGTACACGAGTTATGTTAATGGAATTTGTTTTATTTAATATAAATACAAATATTTTTAATAACGTTAAGTAAGTTTTTAAGTTACACCGGAAAAGGTTTCAACATACCTACTAAATACTGAAGTTAATAATATTTAAGAATAATTTCATAAATTTCATGAAATTTTTGCATAGCCTTGAGTTAATTTTATTAAATTTTTATATTTGTTAAGAAATATTAAACCAAATAAGTAAAAAGCTTTTTATGTTTAATAATACTATTTATGAAATTTTCTTATACTCAATGAAAATGGTTTGGGGGAAAAATCATGTTCGATTTATAATATTTATTACAAAATTCATTCCAGTTATGAATATTTTTTTTTCTGTTTATTGTTAGAATTATAGCTGAAATACCACCTGTTGGTGGAATTGTTCCCTCACATCAATTTCAGGCCTTGAAATTGCACACTCTTTGGACTGAGGGTGATTGGTTTTTATATGTCATGGGTGGTCTTTTCTATATTATGGTTGTATTTTATACCATTAAAGAATTTATACAATTTTCGAAAATGGGAGCGAAATTATATTTTTCTTCGATTTGGAATTTTATGGATATTCTAGTATTGATGGTGAGTAGAAATATGCTAAATTTAAAGTTTTTCTTTTCGAATGCTCAAGGTGAAACAATTAGGACGATATTCGACTCAAATTGATGATAAGTCGGGTCACAATATCATTCAGCTTAGCGATCGTTTCAACAGCTTGGATGCGATAAGTCCTTAATATTAATGATAAAATAATCTCTTATTTAAAACTTTCCATTTACAGTTTTCATATTTATCTCTCATCTATAATTTAATACATCCTTGGTATATATCCGTTATCATTCAGAGGACCAAAGCTAAACCCCATGAATTTGTTAGTATCGACTATATCTGCTATTGGAATCTACTCTATATCGATATGATGGGTATATGTGTGTTTTTGGTGTGGATTAAAATTTTTAAATATATAAGTTTCAATAAAACCATGTGGCAATTTAGTACCACCTTGAAAAGGGTAAATAAGAAGAAAAAAATCTGCAAAATTATTGTATCTATATAATAACAAACTTTATATCTTCTAGTGTGCCAAGGATCTGTTTGGTTTTGCTGTTATGTTTTTCATTGTCTTCTTGGCTTATGCTCAATTGGGTCTATTAATTTTTGGTTCCAGCCATCCGGATTTTCGACGTTTTAGTGTATCGGTTATAACTTTAATGCGCATGTTTTTGGGTGACTTTGAGTATCAGCTGATAGAGGAGGCAAATCATGTTTTGGGACCCATTTACTTTTTGACCTACGTTTTATTTGTTTTCTTTATTTTACTGGTAATTTAAAGTTTATTTTAGTTCCAGGTCCACAATATGCGATTGAACGAATCACATTCTTAACATGTTCGTTCGATTTTAGTGGCAAAGATCTTTAAGTTAAATTTCTTGTATTTAGAACATGTTTCTGGCCATTATCAATGATACTTATGGTGCGGTCAAAAGTGAAGTCTATAAAGGTCACTCTGATTTTGGTGCATATTTATCGCGTTTATTTCAAAAATCTTATATGTGGTGTTTTCCACGAAAAAATCTTCACGCTGAAAAAGATGAAATTGTTTCATTAAAGGATAGACAGGAAATATCTGAAAGTATTGATTCATTATATCCAGCTTCTACGAATGAATTCACTACTCAACCCTCTTCACCCAGTCGCGTTAGAAAGCGTGCCAGTGAGGTTTTAAGAGAGTAAGTTAATAAATTATTTTCTCTACACCGGAAATAATCCAAGTCTAATATATACGAAAAATTTTGTACATTGTACGACATTGTTTCGTAATATATACGAAATTTTAGAAAAATAACTTTTATTTTACGAAATAATTTTTTGTAAATTTCATAGATACTTTGAGGAGCTTTCGGAAATTCAATTGTCACCTATAATTTCCGAACACAATGCAGATTTTCAAGGGTAAGAGGTGTGAATTTTTAAAGTGAATTGATTGCTGATTTGTAATTATACATTTAATTAAAGTTTAAATAAGCGTATTACTTTATTGGAAGAGGTCTTAGAACAATTGATTAATAATATGGATCGTATTTTAAATAAGATTGAGTCAAAGCAATTAAAGAAAAAAACTTAAACTCCAAACCCCAAATTATTGTTTGTTAATAATCGTCCGTTATGTTTTTTTATTATTAATTGAAACAATTTAATATTAATTATACATTTTCCAATTATTGTCATATATTCAAATAAAAACGGTCTATTTTTGTTTAAGAAATATTTTGTTTGACATTAAAAGTTCAATGACTTCAATATACATATATACAATTACATGTATATAAATGTACCCTGCAGTTGAGGTGATTGTCCTGAACTAATAGCACAGACCAACAAATGTTTAACCCAGAGACCAAAGTATACTTTTCTAAGGTATTGAGCAGCTCTCTATCCATATCTGGAATCTCAGAATTTATCCATTACATCAGGTTTTTGAGACATAGTGTCATAAAGATACTAAAAACTCTTTTTAAACTTTATTACACGATATCTGGAAAACCTGATGTGATGGATGAATTCTGAGGCCAGATTTATCGCTGGCCAACTCTTTAGTAAAGTAGGTTTCGAATTTTCTTAAATTTTGTTGGCCTGTGTAATTTTACCCAACAAATTACACAACAATTGAATGAATGACTTCTCTGCGCATTTAAACAATACTGTACTTCTTAAATGACCTCAAAATACATTAATTTCAAGTTAACCTAGTATTTAGATATTTTGGGAAAATATTGTTTTAAGGGATACCTTGACACCTTATATGTAAATCCCCTGAATACATCAATGTACTGTTTTCTATGTAAGTATGTATGCATATGTTTAAAGTGAATGTGTTCTTTCGATAAGTGTTTACTTTACGTTTTGTTTATTCAGTTGTCACACTGTCAATGTTATTGTCCTTTAGATGTTAATCAGTGTCATTATGTCCTTAACGTACTTAATAGAAAATAAGAATATATTCAAGACAATGACTTCATTTTTTTTCACGTTGGTGTGTAGATAGTGGGTTTGTGCTTATTCAAATCTAATTAGGGGTATTCACTTAATTTTATTTCAAACTTAAAAATTTACTTGAATAGGCCACCAACGTATTGTGATTTTACTTCGAGAAATGGATCTCATTTTCTGAAAAAGCCCGCGGTAAAACATGGGTCCATCCTTATAAAATGTATTTATTGCGAATCAACTTTCGGTTGATACAGCTGTCACTGGGTTGGCAATCTTTGGCCGAGTATGACTCGGGTCGTTCCGGAGTGAAGATCCAATTGTCGTGGGAACGTCATTTTGTGACGGAGGCTACTGTCAAATGAGGGCCCGAAGGGTTATCAAGGGTAGTGTAAAACTTAGTTGAGCCGCCTGTAGTCGAGACACGAGTATATTAAACATAATTATGAGTTAAAAAGCCGAAATCGGAGGGTCCAATTGTATGGATGTAATGTAATTACGCGTATGAATTAACTTTAAAATGGCGTTCCGTACTTTGATTACAAGATTTACATGGACGGCTGAAGGACAGACGGACCGACATGGCTTAATTGACTCAGAAAATGATTAGTATAATTTTAAGTGGGTGTACTCATCGTTTGAGAGATATTGCTACTAAAAGTGATCCACGAGATAGCCTATTATATACACTTTAATCCAGTTTGCTGATATTGAATGCATCTAATATTTTAACATGAATCTTTACTTGATATTGAAGTACACAACACCTTCTTTAATATAGGTATACATATGTATGTATGTATCATATAGGTATACATATGTATGTATCATGAGGGACTTTCTTATACATATACACAATTCTATATAATTTTGTGTAAATCACATCAAACATTTATTTTTTCCATATGTATAAGTTTGAATTAAATGAACAACATTGCAGTCAATAATTTTACTTAATGGAAATTGTATGTCTTACCAAGAATATACACCCAAGCAGTTAAGTTTCTCTTCAACAAATAATGACTAAATAGAAAATTAACTACTAATTGTTCATTAAGGAAGAAACAAGGGTAAATAAATATGTATTTATTAATAAATTTATAAAATTACAATCAATAATAACAATTTCAGGAACTCAATTAAAAAAATATACTGTATATTAAATTACTTAGTGTAAATTCTAGAATAGTAATAAAAAAAGAAGAGAAAGTTTTTATAGTTAAAAATCGCATTATAATGATTAAAATAGGAATTTAAAATTTTGTATACTCCAGTTCTTAAACTCGAAAAGTTTAAAGCTAGAAAATATTCTCAAACTAAATGTGACAAGTTAAATCATTAAAATAAAATCAAGGTTTTTATTTATGTATATTCATTGGTAGGATAATTTACTTTACTTCCTATTCTCTAGATATCTATAAGATATACACTTCATTTCATTAGGCGCGAAATCTATTACTTTCCTCTTCGTTTCATGCACAAAAATGCTGTTGTTTTAAATCATGTTTCTGCTGTGACGTCAATATCAAAGAATCTTAGAAATTTATACACCAAGAAATTCATATGTGTGTATGTATGTGCTTGTATGCTGTTTTGTGGACAAATAACACTAAGAATTTTGCCTGCTTCCTGAGGTCGTTGATATCAAGAACAAGGAAAATTTTAACAGAAAAAATTTTACGACATTCTACTAATATTTAAATTGGCGAACAAAGAAATCAATTGTTGAAATTCCATGTGGGATTGGAATTTGTAATGAGCAAATATTAAATACACTCAATTGCATTTAACTCGCTGGTTTACCTCAAGCATTTTACACTCAGAGGCGGATTTATTTGGAGGTGTTAAGAAAATTTTTAAATTAAAATTTAGGAAATTTTTTATATTTAGGAAAAACTGTATACATATACTAACAAAAACTAAGTATCGATCTGTTTATAGTCTTGACTATAGTCCAGTATATAGTATTGATCAGTCTATAGTCTTCACTATAGTCCAGCATATAGTATTGATATAGTATATAGTCTTGACTATAGACGAGATCAGTCTATAGACCAGATCAGTCTATAGTCTTGACTATAGACCAGATCAGTCTATAGTCTTGACTATAGACCAGATCAGTCTTTAGTTTTGACTATAGACCAGATCAGTCTATAGTCTTGACTATAGACCAGTCTATAGTCTTGAATATTGACCAGTCTATAGTCTTGACTATTGACCAGTCTATAGTCTTGACTATAAAAAAGTTTTTAGTCATGACTATAAAACAGTTTATAGTCATGACTATAAACCAGTTTATACTTATGTCTATATATTAATATATAGTTTTGACTATTGACTAGTCTTTAGTTTTGACTATGGAATATTGACTAGTCTATAGTGTAGACTTTTGATAATCTTGTCTATAGACCAGTTTTTAGTAGTAACTATACAGCAGTCTAATCCAAACGGATTAAAATCTGTGATCACTTCTTTTTCCATTCAAAAATAGATTTTTGAGTGAAAACATAAAAGTCCATTTTCTGGCGAAACTATAGACCCTACGTCCAAACGGATTAAAATCTGTGATCACACCTATTTTCTACCAAAAATCAATTTTTGAGTGATAACATGAAGTTCCATTTTCTGGCGAAACTATAGGTCCTGGGGCCGAAAGGATCTGTGATCACTTCTATTCCCTTTCAAAAATCGATTTTTGAGTGAAAACATAAAAGTCCATTTTCTGGCGAAACTATAGGCCCTAGGGCCAAAAGCATTAAAATCTGTGATAATTTCTAATTCCTTTAAAAAATCGATTTTTGAGTGAAAACATAAAAGTTCATTTTCTGGCGAAACTATAGGCCCTAGTGACCTAGGATTAAAGTCTGTGATCACCTTTATTTCGTTCCAAAAATCGATTTTTGAGTGAAAACATAAAAGTCCATTTTCTGGCTAAACTATAGGCCCTAGGGCCAGAAGGATTAACATCTGTGGTCACTTTTATTTCCTTCCAAAAATCGATTTTTGAGTGAAAACATAAAACTCCATTTTCTGGCAAAAGTATAGGCCCTAGGGCCAAAAGGATTAAAGTCTGTGATCACTTTTATTTCCTTCCAAAAATCGATTTTTGACTGAAAACATAAAAGTCCAATTTCTGGCTAAACTATAGGCCCTAGGGCCAAAAGGATTAAAATCTGTGATCACTTTTATTTCCTTCCAAAAATCGATTTTTAAGTGAAAACATAAAAGTACATTTTCTGGCGAAACTATAGGCCCTGGGGCTAAAAGGATTATAATCTGTGATCACTTTTATTTCCTTCCACAAATCGATTTTTGACTGAAAACTTAAAAGTCCATTTTCTGGCGAAACTATAGGCCCTGGGGCCAAAAGGATTAAAATCTGTAATCACTTCCATTTCCTTCCACAAATCGATTTTTGACTGAAAACTTAAAAGTCCATTTTCTGGCGAAACTATAGACCCTAGGGACAAAAGGATTAACATCTGTGATCACTTTTATTTCCTTCCACAAATCGATTTTTGACTGAAAACATAAAAGTCCATTTTCTGGCGAAACTATAGGCCCTAGGGCCAAAAGGATTAATATCTGTAATCACTTCCATTTCCTACCCAAAATCAATATTTGAGTGAAAACATAAAAGTCCATTTTCTGGCGAAACTATATAAAATCTGTGATCACTTTTATTTCCTTCCAAAAATCGATTTTTGAGTGAAAACATAAAAGTCCATTTTCTGGCTAAACTATAGGCCCTAGGGCCAAAAGGATTAAAATCTGTGGTCACTTTTATTTCCTTCCAAAAATCGATTTTTGAGTGAAAACTTAAAAGTCCATTTTCTGGCGAAACTATAGGCCCTGGGGCCACAAGGATTAAAATCTGTGATCACTTTTATTTCCTTCAACAAATCGATTTTTGACTGAAAACTTAAAAGTCCATTTTCTTGCGAAACTATAGGCCCTGGGGCCAAAAGGATTAAAATCTGTGTTCATTTCTAATTCCTTTAAAAAATCGATTTTTGAGTGAAAACATAAAAGTCCATTTTCTGGCGAAACTATAGGCCCTAGTGACCTAGGATTAAAGTCTGTGATCACTTTTATTTTCTTCCAAAAATCGATTTTTGACTGAAAACATAAAAGTCCATTTTCTGGCGAAACTATAGGGCCTAGGGCCAAAC